TCTTGACCAGGACCACACCCCTAAATGCATTGAAGCAACTGCCATGTGATTGGTTGATTAGATAATTGCATTAATGAGAAATTGAACAGGTGTTCCTAATAATCCTGTAGGTGAGTGTACACCATAACCAATTCAGATTTACATTTCAGCTTATTTCTTAAATAGAAAAATAATATTACTTGGGAATTGTGTGACAAGAGAACAAGCTCAATTTTCTATACCAATGACAGAAGTTTAATTTAATCAAAGTTAGTAAGCTATGCCATTTAATTCTCCCAGCACAACAAGCAAAAGATATATTTTTTTTTCTCCCCACAAAGTGGCAACAGCTGATGTGTGTGTGGCTAGTTGGACATCTCTTTCTGGCCAGCGATCGATTCCATCTGCAAAATCTGAGGTCAGCGCCTTAGTAACTACAATAATTCAGGGAATCATCCAACTGTACCAAGCCACAAGTGTTGTATGCACACCTTCCACAACGTTTACAGCTTCAGACGCAATAACAAAAATGCCTAGAATGTCTGCCTCCATAACAATATCATCCTCTGCAGACACTACTACAACAACAATTCCACCTTCATCTACTACATCACCAATGTCTGTAACGGCAACTCCTACCACAACACTACCATCATCTTCAGGTTCAAACACAATATTAGTTCTTACCACATCTAGAACTATGACTTCTTCCTCACCCGAAATCTCGGCCCCAGATGATTCTACATTGACAATATCTGCACCTCCAATCTCTACAACATCAGTGCCTGGAACTGGAACTGCAACTTTTACCACAAAAATACCAACATCCACATCATTACCCACAATCACTGCATTAACAGAATCTACCACATCAGTTCTTACAACATCATCATCTGTCACAACATCTGCCCCACCAGACTACAAATCAACAACATCTAAACCTACAAACTCTACACCATCAATGTCTTTAGGCTCTATGACATATACCATTATGAATTCATCTTCAACCATGACCACTGGACCCCCAGAATCTACCACAAAAATACCTATTATTTCAACCTCAGTCAGAGTAGCTACCCTACCAGACTCAGTAACAAAATTATCAGTGCCTCCATATTCTACATCAACAATGCATGTAACTTCAGCCTTGACCTCAACAATACCAATATTTTCAGCTTCAACAACAAGACCTTCAATTTTAGTTCCAACCACATCCATAAATAAGAATTCATCCTCAACCACAATTACTGCCCCCCCATATTCCAGTACAACAATACCTATAAATGCATCTCGTGTCTCTCTTTCTCCCTACCCAGACTTTGCATCAGCACTATCTACACCTTCATCCTCTACAACAATACCTGTAACTGTAGCAGCTACTAGAAATATAGCAGCATCTACAACATCAACAAAAATCACTGCAAATGTAGAATCTAGCACAGCACCTATAACATCATCCTTTATCACAATATCTACCTCTTCAGACTCTATCACAACAATATCTATACCTCCATCCTCCACGCGATCAATGTCTGTAACTTCTGCCTCCATATTACCATCATCTTCAGCCTCAATGATAAAACCTTCAACTTTAGTTATTACCACATCAAAAACGATGAGGTCATCCTCAAACACAATCACTGCACCCCAAGACTCTACCACAACAATGCTTCTAACATCATCGTCTGTCACTCTACCTACATCACCAGAATCTGTCTTGACAAAAAGACCCTCTACAACAATGCTTATACCTGTAACCTCAAAAAGAAATATTCCAATATCTATTTCAAGCACAATCGTTATACCGCCAGAATCAAACACAAGAACATCAACCTCTGTTACTACTTCAACTCCACCAGACTCTGCATTGACAAAACCTGGGCATTCATTGTCACCATCATCAATTCCTTTATCCTCAGCTTCTCCTACATCCACAATAACATTATCAGCCTCAACCACAACAAATGCACCCCCAGAACCCACCACAACAATACATATAAATGCAACTTCTATCTCTTCATCTCCCCTACCAGATGTTACCATGACAAAATCTGCAGTTTCATCCCTTAAAACAATGCCAATACCAGTTACCTCAAAAAGAAATATTCCAATATCTATTTCATCAAGTACAATCATTATACCACCAGAATCAAACACAAAAACATCAACCTTTGTTACTATCTCTACTCCACCAGGGTCTGCATTGACAAAACCTGTTCATTCATTGTCAACATCATCAATTCCTTCATCCTCGGCATCACCCACATCTATAGCAACATCATCAGCTTCACCTTCTAGACCAATGTCTGTAACTATAATGTCTGCCAGCAATATAGCTACATCTGCTTCATCAATCACGATCACTACACCACCAGCCTTTACTAAATTTGTGTCAAAAACTACAACTGGATCAAGTACATCGACAACGACTGTGACAAGAACTGCAAACATGTTTCCAGTCTCTGCATCAACATCTTCATCCACTAGTCACTCTAAACCAACAATTTCTTCAGGTCCTCCTCCAGTACTGACAAGTGAATCCGTAACCAATGCAACCATCCCAAGGACTGTGTTTAAAACTACAATTGCTAGATCTAGGACAACATCAAGGACAACGGCAGCAGCTGCAAAAAGTGCTGCAAACATTTCTCCAGTTTCTGCATCATCAAATTTATTCCTTTCTCATATCAAATCAAAAGTCTCTTCAGCCTCTCCTCCATCAATGACAAGTGAATCCCCATCCCATGCCACCGCCTCAAAAACTACAGCAGCTGGCTCCAGTGTAACACCATCAACAATGGTGACAGGTACTGCAAACATTATCCAAGTCTCTACATCATCCACTGCATCAATGACAAGTCAGTCCATAACCCATGCTAATGTCTCACCATATATGTCTAAAACTACAGTGCCTGGATCAATTACAACATCAGTGACATCTGCAACAGCTGCTAAAAGTGCTACAAACATTTTTCCACTCACTCCCTCATTATCTTCGTCCTTTACTCAAAGTGCATCAACAAGTTCTTCAGCTTCTCATCCATCAACGGCAAGTGAATCCGTAACCCATGCCCCCATCTCAATGTCCGTGCCTAACAGTACAGCATCTGGATCTAGTATATCAACATCAACTGCAACAGCCACTACTAGTACTGCAAACATTTTCCTAGTCTCTACATCATCATCTTCTAGTCAAACTTCAAGAAAAAACTCTTCAGCATCATCATTTTCATTCCCAAGTTACACTGCATCAACAAGCTCGTCAACCTCTGCTACATCAGTGACAAGCATATCACAAATCCATTCCACCATCTCAACATCTGTGTCTAAAACTATAGTAGCTGCATCCAGTATAACATCATCAACAACTGCAACAGATACTGCAAACATCATATCAGCCTCTGCGTCATCATCATCATCCCTTAGTCACAGTATATCAACAAGCTCTTCAGCCTTGATTCCATCAAAAACAAGTGAATCCCTAACCCATGCCACCATCTCAACATCTGTGCCCATGACTATAGCAGCTGGATCTCATGCCCCAACAATTGCAACAGCTGCTACGAGTACTGCAAACCTTTTCAGCTTCTGCACCATCATCATCATCCCTTAGTCACACTACATCAACAAGTTCTTCATCCTTGCCTCCATCAAAAACAAGTGAATCCCTAACCCATGCCACCATCTCAACATCTGTGCCCATGACTATAGCAGCTGGATCTCATGCCC